TAATACATAGATGAAGTCAAAACAAGTAAAGGAAATGCTGCCCATAAACAACGAGAAAATCTGGGGCCAGAGGAATCTGTATCAGCTAAAAATTACTCTAGACCAAGAGAATGTCAGACCCAAATATAGACCTCAGAGGCTGGAGGCTGAAATCCCCAAAAAATGTGATGACAAACTAGCTGGATGAGCCCCCTGCACATAACCCAGATCCTCTGAGACCTGCCATGTACTTGATAAAGGCCCTTAAAACATTACACCCACCAGCCTGAGAACAAAAGCAAAGAAACATATTGCTGAGACCTTGAGCCCATGCCCAACCTTTAACACCATCAAAAGAGACATTATACACCGCATGATACGGTCTAATAAGTAGTTAGTGCATCTAACCACCTATTCTTGTCAAAATAAATTGAATCTGAACCCAATAAAGCTTCTACATCTAACTATCGGTTTACCGATAAATGACACTACACGAAAGCAATCAGCCAAATCCAGAATATGGGAAAGTCTTGTCCAATGGCCCAGTTTGTCCAGTAAATCAATGACATGGCGTGGGGTGGGCGGGGGGAGAGGGAGGGAGGCAGGGAGTGTGGACAATAATATAATGATAAGACTTGGGAGATAAAGCAATTAAATGCAATGTATGGACATTATTTAGATCCTGATTCAAATAACCCATAAAAAGGCACCTGTTAGATGATATTGTTATTGTTAACTCAGTTATGTGGAAAGGAATGGGAGTTTTTTTTATGTTTCTGTCAGTTTGCCAGGGAATTGACATATCTGATATTTGCTTCAAAATACTGCAGGAAAAAAATGTTGACTGGGAGAATGTAGAAGAAACAAGATTGACAAAGTGTTAATTATTGAAACTAGAGTTCACTACACTATTTTCTTTATTTTATATATTAATGAAATTTACATAATAAAAATTTTATGTATGTATTTATTTTTTAATTTCTTTATTGAGTTTAGAGCGAGAAAGGGAGAGAGAAACATCACTGTGAGAGTAAAACATCGATGTGAGAGTGAAACATTGATTTGTTGCCTCCTGCATCCACCCTGACCAGAGATTGAACCCATAACCTGGGTATGTGCCCTGACCAGGAATTGAACCCACAACCCTTCAGTGCCTAGGGCAATGTTCCAACCAACTGAGCCACAATGGCCACGGCCATAATAAAAAAAATTTTAAAGAAGCAATGAATGGAAAGCAAAGAAATTGGTAAACGTAATAATTGAATGTGAAAAGGAATCACTAAATCTCATGTACAGAAAATTCCTAAATAATTTATGTAGCTCCTCTGCCCTCAAGGAGGTGGAACATAACTCCCCACCCCTTAAGTGTACGGTGCTAAGAGGGACTTCCTTCTTAAAAGTACAGAATGGAGAAGGAGGAAAGAAGAGTAACGTTGCAGGGAAAATTAGGTATGTGGTTTGCAGAAACTCTGATATGGTGGCAACTTTCCTGTAAAACTAAAACTTTTAAAGTAAAAAGTTTACTAAAAATATTAATAACTTCTGAAGAAGTAAAAAACACAAAGTTATAAAGTAATAGCAATGCTGACTTAAATCAAAACTGCTGGGGTGGGTATCAGGCATAATTTTTTTTAGATGAAAAGACACTTTATTATCATTTTACTATATAATATATTAGTGAATAAACCTGAGTGCAGGCAGAGTTATTTTTTTAAATATATTTTTACTGATTTCAGAGAAGAAGGGAGAAGGAGAGTGAAAAAGAAATATCAATGATGAGAGAGAATCATTGATTGGCTGCCTCCTGCACGCCCCCTACTGGGGATCGAGCCCACAGCCTGGGAATGTGCCCTTTGCAGGAATCAAACCCGGGACCCCTCAGTCTGCAGGCCCACGCTCTATCCCCTGAGCCAAAGTGGCTAGGGCTGCGGAGTGATTTTTAAAGTGCCCACGAAAGAGAGGCAGAGACAGAGAGAGACGGAAGGACTCAGAGAAGGAGATACACGTGTAGAGGTTATGGACTACATCGTATCACCCAAAACTGAAGCTCTGACCCCCACTGTGACTGTATTTGAGATAGGGCTTGTAGGGAGGCAGTTAAGGTTAAATGAGGTCATAAGCTAACCATTTTGATCAAGAAGTTAGAAAAAGAACAGTGAGCATTTAAAAAGTGGAAGAAGGAAATAAAAGTAAGAATAAAATTAGCTGTAATGGCCAACAAAGGCACACTGTGGAGAGAGGACGGTTCATAAAATGACAACAGAATTGTGGCTGACAGACAAGAAAACTATGAAAAGAATGCAGAAACCAATCAGGCAGGGAAGAAAAAGACAAATTGAAGCCAGCCAAGTGGAGAAGGAAATTAGGCATATTCCAGCTAAGGGTGCAGAATTTCATTTCCCCAAATCAGGTGATAAAAGATGGAAAGAGATTACAATCGAAATTGGTGCCCAGGGAACATGTGAGGCACTTGCTTATAAATCTCGCCCCACCTCCCCCAAAAGGATTGGGTTGGGCGAGCCGGTGGCTGCCCGGCCCCTGGCATAGACAGGGCCCAATTCTAAGAAAAGGCTTAGCATGTGACTCAGGTAGAATTGGCCTAGAACAGAAGTTCTGAGGAACCCAGAGAGCTTTTATTTTCGTGGGTTGTAGCTCTCAATAATGAATGCATTAAAAATTAAAACTAAAATTTAAAAAATACTGTAGTTATTTAAAAATAACAAGAATAAATCCAATACATTGTTTACCAAAAAATGAGAACAATCCAAATATCCACAAATACCGAAAAGCCCAGTGCACTTGGTTTATTTATACAATAGAATATGATGCAGCTTATTTTTTACTGAATCTATAGATAACTACATGTTGGTTTTTGTTTTGTTGTAATATATTTTTATTGGATTTCAGAGAGGAAGGAAGAGGGAGAGAGAGATAGAAACATCAATGATGAGAGAGAATCATTGATTGGCTGCCTCCTGCACACCCCCCACTGGGGATCGAGCCCGCAACACAACCCGGGCATGTGCCCTTGACCGGAATCGAACCTGGGACCCTTCAGTCCGCAGGTTGATGCTCTATCCACCGAGCCAAACCGGCTAGGGCAGATAACTACATGTTAACAACAAATCTTGGGGGAAAAGAACCCCTTTGAATGAAAAAGGCAAGCGGCAAAAGGATAGAAAATAAAATACCATTCATGTCCATTTTTAAGGCAGAAGATACTAATTGGTAAAGTGGGTCTTTGATGCGAGGCTAAATTTGGGCCTATTTCAGTAGGCAGCTCATTGAATGAGTCGTCAAAAGATTTTGAGCAGGAACCCCACACCTCTGCTATGAAGATCAGTCTAGCAGTCCTGACCTTGGGTCCACACACACAATGCTGGGGGCTTGTATCCTTGCATGGGGAAAAATTTACCGTTATTTTCAGGAAATGGAACATTTCCCTTATGAATGGAGTCAACAAGGTCAATGGTATTGGCAGGAGCCGTGACTGTCACCAATAGTAATCACAGATATTTCATATCACCTTACAGTTATGGTAAATGTTTTAAAATATCCCTACACTCATCATAGCATATGATCTGCTGCTGGATCTCATTACTTAATGGCTTCATAAAGACGCACATATATATTACACCACAGATTTGATTTTTAAAACATTTTTAAAATGCACACACACACACACACACACACACACATACACTCTAGCAGAGGGCAGGCAGCCCAGGATATAGCAGAGGCCTCGGCTCTTTCCTCCAGACAATCAGGAGCCACAGGAGGGGCCTCTTGCTGGGATCATTGCAAGGAGCCCTGGGGTCACTCAGGGGTCAGGAGGCTGCCTGCTGCTGCCTGAACCGCAGACTCCTGGGGACTGGAGTCTCTGCAGCCCCCACGCTGCACTTCTGTCATTTCCCCTTTGGCCTCTCCCAGGCAGTGCTTGTCTTAATTGTTGGCCTAATGACACCCATATAAAAAGGGGGAGGGGAGAGCATTGCTCAGTGACCAGTGAGAAGGTCCCTGGGCACGGCCGGGGCAGATCTGCTGAGGTACGGGGTGGGCAAAAGTAGGTTGACACTTGTGGGTACATGGAAGTTTTTTTTTTAAAATATATTTTATTGATTTTTCTACAGAGAGGAAGGGAGAGGGATAGAGAGTTTGAAACATCGATGAGAGAGAAACATCAATCAGCTGCCTCCTGCACACCCCCCACTGGGGATGTGCCCGCAACCAAGGTACATGCCCTTGACCGGAATCGAACCCGGGACCCCTCAGTCCGCAGGCCGACGCTCTATCCACTGAGCCAAACCGGTCAGGGCTGGAAGTTTATTCTTGTCTTATTTATTCATTAATTGCTTATTTGTATTATTTGTCGTCTTCTTATTATTCCATATCCTTACTTATGATTCGTGTTTTTAGGTAACGATGGCTGGTAATTTGAAGTACTTTTGCCCACCCCTGTATTTGAGAAATATGTCTCTGCATTAATTGGTGCTTTCAGCCCAGGTGACCTAGAAACCTGTCTGCCTCCTCTCCGCCTCCCCAACTTCGCAGGTGTTGGCTGGCCTGCACTCCACGGCAGGTTGGAGCACAGGGCCCACCTGTGCGCGCCCACCGAGTGTCCCGTCTCTGCTCTGCTCTGCCCCCGCTGCCCCCTCACTTAGGCTTGGGGGGAAGGTGGAGGAAACTAGAAGAGAAACAAAACGGTTCTTGGCCTTGACAGAGGGAAGGGGGAGGCAGGCAGTGGCACCTCCTCCCTTTCCCAGTGTAGGCCCCGGCGCGATCAGGGTACTCCCCCCACCCTCATCCCAATCCCCACCCCATCCCTCCCCCCTCCCCCACCCCACCTCCACCCCACCCCCACCCCACCCCGAGGCCTCGCAAGCCCCACTCCTTTCCACTTGGGTCCTGGTGATGGAGTGAGCTGCAAGACCAAGGTGAAGAGGCTCCCAGCCTGGACCCGGCCGAGGGGGCGGCCCCGGCCGCGGCTGCCCCGCCCCGCCCCGCCCCCGGCGCCTCCGCAGAAGCCTGCACGCTGGCCGCCGGCTGCCACTGCGGCAGCCCCGGCGCCTCCTCGGGTCGCCCCGCACAGGTGAGGACGGGAGCCCCGCGTCTGATCCGTGGAGGGAGGAGCGGGAAGCTTGGTCAGGCTGAGAGCCGGGAGGGAAGGAGCGTAATCGGATTCCGCAGAGGCCGGAAGGGGGGACCGAGGGACCCGAACTCCAAATCCTGGGCGGGCGGCTGGGAGGGGGTCCCTGCCAAGCCCCGAGAGGCGGGCTCGCCTTCACCGAGCCGAGCGCCTCTGCGCGTCCGGAGATGCGCTGGGCGCTCAGGTGCCTGTGACTGCAAGGGGCTTGGGGCCTCCCGGATCCTGGGGCGCTGGCTCCGGGGGGGCCCACATCCTCTCGCAGCTGTTCCCAGCCCGGAGCTAAGGATACGCCTCTGGGTCTTGAAAGGAGGACCCCAGGCTCGCGGGCCGCGACCACACAGAAACCTTGCTTGCGGCGCGCTTTGGAGAGACTTGTCCTGCCCGGGGGCTGCGGACAGGTGGGGAATTCTGCAGGAAAAGACAGGTTCCGTTCTGACTGTTTTCAATGTGAAAATCCAGCAAGCCCGTTGTCATCCTTTTCCTTGCATCTGGGGAGGCGACGCTGGAATTTAAGCCCCGGCTTTGGGTCTTTCTCTGAAGTTCTAGGTTCACCCCCCCCTTCGCCCCCCGCCACCTCTACCCTCACCCCCGCCGTGAGGTTTTGACTGGGAGGAAGTGGGTCTGTGTTTTAACCGTGTGCGAGGGTTTTGAACTTGAGCCAGGGGCCCTGGAAACATGACCATCTGTGTTCTCTCGCCTGCAGCTGCGAGGAAAGATGTTGACTGTGCTGACCCGCCAGCCTTGCGAGCACGCAGGTTAGTATCCAGCGGGCAGCCTGCGGGATTTCCCCGCATCGCAGAGAACCCCGCGCCCGCTCGGGTTCCTCATCCCCGGCCCCGGGCCGGCAAATGGCTGTGCATCCTCTTGAGCTTGGTGCCAGAGTTGCTCACCGGCTCTCACCACAGGCATTCCTCGCAGAAAAGTAATGCTTTTCATCCAAGCGACACCAAACAAGGGCTAACATGCATGTTTCGATTAAATGGTTTTTCCGGTTTGCATAATCCATTCATTTGGCCCTCGTGGTTTCCCTTACCCAACGGTGTGTAAGGTTTGCTGTAGAATAATGTGGATTTTGTGAGGAACTCCAAAGTGCTGGGAGCTTTGCTCTATTCCCATTCAAGCGTTGTTGCTGGCAGCGCCTACAGCATCCTCCAGCCCCCAGCATGGTCAGCATTGTTCCTGCTGATGTTCCCGCAGACACATGTGCGGAATTTTCTCTCTCTCTCTCTCCTCTCTCTTCTCTCTCTCTCTCTCTCTCTCTCTCTCTCTCTCTCTCTCTCTCTCTCTCTCTCTCTCTCACACACACGCACACACGCACACACACACCTGCCTGCCCTGGAGCACTCTTTGCCGTTGCTCATATGAAAGTCCAGGAGCCTCTGGCCTCTCCTCTCCCAGGTCGGCACTTGATAATTACAGTGTGTGTCCGGCCCTAATGATAGCACAGCCGTGGGCCCTGTTCCCTAAATGAATGAGACCTGGTCTAGTCCATTTTGCTTCGTGATAGACTTTTCTGCTGGGGCAAGTGTTTGCTTAAGGTAATCATAGCCTTTTACCCAAAATCTGCTGAAGCGCAGAGGACTGGGGAGGCTAGCGTGTGGCTGTGGTCAGGAGACCGCTTACCTACCACCCCGCCTCCCTCCGGTGGCCAGAGGTTGTGCCCCTACGTTGGGTATTCTTGTCTTCCAAAAGGATACGATTGTAGGCTAGTGGGGGCAATTTATACCAATTTTTTTCTTTTTCTTTAAAGGGAAATTGTATGTAATGAGCTGATTTACTTTGATCTCCAGGTTTTTCCCGAAACACTTGGAAATGTTAACACAGATCCGGTAACATCACACGTACAGACTAACTTGTTACATTCCTCCCAAAGGACAAGTTTAACCTGGCAGATTAAACCTCCACCATGTCTTGTTAGGGGGGAAATCCCTTCAGCTGACACTGACAGGTGGTTTCTTTAAAAGTTGATACAAGAGTTTGTCTCTGTGGATAAACTGGTTCCTGGTGGTCTCCAGCATCAGAAAAGTGATCTAGGACCTGCAGGTCATCCATGGTGGTGGGCCCCCTTCAGTTGCTACTACAAAGGAGTCAGCATAGAGTAACTGCGTGTCATTGTACACACATGGGACTCCTTCTGTGGAATACATTCCCAGAGGTGGGATCGCAAGTCAGATGTATGCCTGTTTGCAATTATTGTCAGTAAATACTGACACATTGCCTTCCATTGATGCTGTGTCAGTTTTCACTCCCAGTGACAAGGTAGAAGAATGAGGCTGTTAAGTAACCACTTTTGACATTAGGAAATGTCTGTGGCAGTGTCTACACAGCAGGGGGATCAAATGGGGCAGCAATAAACTTTAGTGAACCCACACTAGTTTGTTAAGACCTAATCTGCTTGTAATCATTCAGTTAAGCAATGTTAGTTTAAATTTAATAGACATAGTTCATTATGATACATTATGTATTATTATACAACTAGAGGCCTGGTGCACAAAATTTGAGCACAGGGGGTCCCTCAGCCTGGCCTGCACCCTCTCACAATCTGGGACATCCCTCTTGCAATCCGGGACTGCTGGCTCCTAACCACTTGCCTGCCTGCCTGATTGTCTCTAACCACTCACCTGCCTGCCTGATTGCCCCTAACCATTCTGCCTGCCTGCCTGATTGCCCCTAACTGCCTCTGCCCTGCCTGCCTGATTTGTCCCTAATTGCCTCTGCCTGCCTGTCTGCCTAACCACTCGCCAGCCTGCCTGATTGCCCCTAACCACCTCTGCCTTGGCCCCTGCCACAGCAGCTTCATCCGGAAGGATGTCTGGAAGGTTGTTCGGCTGTCTAGTCTAATTAGCATATTACTCATTTATTATTATAGATATGTATATACATCATATATTATACCATACATACAATTATATAATGATCTTTACTTAGTGTCTATATATTTAATTTAAGAGTATTCATGTGCTTATTTATTCATTTTTTTTCTTTTAAATGGGTAGATAGAGTTTACATGTTATGATTAAAATACAAATCCCACGAGACATGTGGATTGGGGTCTAGTTCGTCTTTGTTGGTGAGGATGTAGGGAGACCTAGCGCCTTCACTGTAGACACAGCAAGCATAACTGAGCGTGAGTTCTTATTGGGAACCCAAATGCTGTAGAAATTTAGACATGTTATCATTTGCTCCACAATAAGTCACCGTGTAGTGAATCATTAATTATATCTGAAGTACCATATTAATTTCTTCTTATTTATCTGAGATTAATTTTAAATGAAATATTACCTGCTTTAATGGAAAACCCATATTTTTCTAATCTGCACTGAAACAAATGTCATTGTAAATCTTCTCAGGGACAACCAGTAATATGCATCACATACTTTGAGAAATACCAGAAAACTAAACTATGCATACCGAAAACTAAGATAATACTGTATACAACATATAGATGTATGTACATATGTAATGTAAAATATATAAATATAACATATGTATAAATATATTAAAAACTAATACATATATAACTAATATGATACTACAGAAAACTAAATACCAGAAAACTAAAGCCATGCAAACACGGTTTAAGTCCACTCTTTGGAGGAAAGATAAGTGGGGATTAGAACCCAGCTGCTTCTCCACCTTAAGCGTGTGGGTCTCACTAAAGCCAGAGTGACTGGTGCCCACGGCTACGCACCCGGTTCCTGGGTTCTGCAAAGAAGACGAGTGTCTTGTTCCTGCGTTTCCCCTCGTAAGTCTTCTGGGTCTTCCCGTTTCAGGCTTCAAGGCCCTCTCCCGCACGCCAGTCGTCGTGGCCTTGGTGGTCTTGATTTTGAGCGTGGTGGTACTTGTGGCCATCACACTCATCCAGATTCACCAGAAAGAGGTCCTCCTTCCCGGACTGAAGGTAAGTGTGAAGGGATCGGCACGGCAGGGGAGCAATGGGCTATGACATCACTTACTCTAAAGCCATGAGTTGGAAGAGAAGAAGAGCATTCCCCCCCCCTCTGGCTGGAGCCTGGGAAGACAGTGTCAGACCCAAGGGAGAAGGTCCGGACATGCTGGGTTTGTGATGGTCGAGGCTCCAGTTTGATTGTGGTGACACCTTTCCCAAGGACCGTGTGGTTTTTGCTTTGACCCCTGACTATTGGAAGCAAAGCTAGACTTTGTGGCCAGTGATAAATGGCTACCAAAGATGTACCAACTTGTCCGTCTCCCCAGAGCACACATCTCTCCCTGATCATGAGCGGAGACCAGGAGACCCAGGCTCCTCCTCGGCCTGGCCTGGAGGAACAAAAATTCAAGGCCTTGAGAAGATCTCCTGGAACTGTATTTGGGCCTAGAAATGTGCCGTGATCCCTCTAACTCTCCCCCCGGAAAAATCTCTCAGGCCCTTATGCTCTGTTCCAGAGACCTTTCTCAGCCCTTGATAAATAAGTCCATCCTAGATGGCCTCCTGGGTGACTTCTGGCAGGCTGAGAATCATGGCTGCAAGGATGACGGGAGGTGATCCACAAGGGCCTGTCACATGAAAGGCAGGCAGAGGCATTGAGCCTTTCTGCCACGTGGGGAGAGGCCAGCAAACTTTCTGTAAAGGGCTAAATAGCACATATTTTAGGGTTTGAGGGCCATTTATAATCTCTGTTACACATACCCTCTTCTGTTTTTGTCTTCTTAACTCTTTAAAAATGTCAAAACCACCTGGCCGGTGTGGCTCAGTGGTTGAGCATTGACCCATGAATCAAGAGGTCCCCGGTTCAATCCCTGCTCAGGGCTCATGCCTGGGTTGCAGGCTCAAGCCCTGTTAGGGGGCATGCCGGAGGCTGCCAATCCATGTCTCTCTCTTATCAATGTTTCTATCCCTCTCCCTTCCTCTCTAAAATCAATAAAAACATACTTTAAAAAAACCAGTTAAAAATGTAAAAACCCTTCTTAGCTGGAGAGACATAGGGGCCAAGTTTGACTGTGTTATTTGAATTTCATTGATTGATTGATTGTTTTGGGAGAGAGAGAGAGAGAGAGAGAGAGAGAGAGAGAGAGAGAGAGAGAGAGAGAGACATCAATTTGTTGTTCCACTTATTTATGCACTCATTGGTTGGTTCTTATATGTACCCTGACCAGGGATCAGACCTTGGTGTATTGTGATGATGCTCAGACCAACTGAACTACCGACCAGGGCTATTTGATCCCCTTTAGCATTTACACTTTGCCTCACAAGTCCTTCTGCATCTTCCTACTGTTAGTGACTGGTCAATGGCTATATTTGAAGTAGAAGTTTTTAAAGATAAGAAACTACTATTGCCTTGGCTCGGGGTCTACAGAGAGTGTAGACAGAGCATGGATGTGGGTCTGAACTGTCCCACTGCCTACAGTCCACCTACAGATGCACAAGGCTCTGTACTTCGTGGAATTGCCAGGGGTGGGAAAAGGACAGGTGGATGGGGTGGGCAGGGCAAAAGCCTTCATCTGTAAAATCACCCCTCAGGCCCTTCAAAAGTGAGGCATGGGCTGGTTAAGGTGGTTGCCAGCTGCTGGCTTCCACTCATTCTGGGAGGTAGGAGGTAAGTCCTCTGTTCAGCCTGAGGGACATGAGGAGTTAGAAGACTGGAAGAGTGAACTGAAAAGTGGAGCCCGAGGCATACGGAGGGCACATGGAAGGAGAGGGCCACCCATGTTAAATGTTACTGTCTCGGGTGGATCCCCCTAACCTAAGATCTGAGTGCAAGCAGGTCATCTGAGGATGGCCCAGGAAGCACAGGGAGGGGATGGGGAAGTGAGACGGGAGGAAAGCAGCCACTGGAGGGCCGGGGACCCAGCAGGTTACCCCTTGGGCGCCTGGGGCTCAGTCCTGCTGGGGATGCCTGGAAGTCAGTGCAGAACCCACCGCAGGGTTGTCCTCTACAGAGGGGGAGGGCATATGGAACACCTGCCTCCCAGCTATCCCTCTCTTGGGCATATTTACACACCAACACCCATCACTCATCGGTTGAGAGACTCCTCCCTGGGGAACGTTAACTCTAGTATTTCTGGCACATTATGCGCTCGGGTTGGCTCAGGCCACTAGAGAGAGTGTCTGCAGGCAGGTGGAAAGCGCATGGTTGGCCATCACGGTGGTAAGGTCTGAGGGACCGTGGGCAGGAACCTCCATGACTGTTCCATGTAGATACAATAATTATTACCCTCCTTTGCAGAGGAGGAAATAGAAGAACAGAAAGGGCAAGTGGCGTCCCGCAGTTACACAGAAGGAACACAGCAGGACTGGTATAGCAGGAAGAAAAGAGTAGAGCATTGGCCTCATGCAAGGGTTTGGGAAGATGGGAAGACACACCCTCACCCATTAGCACACAGTTCAAAGAGGGGCTTTTTTTAGAAACAATTTATTTATTTATTTATATTTTTTTATTTATCTTTTTAAAAATATATATTTTATTGATTTTTTACAGAGAGGAAGAGAGGGATACAGAGTTAGAAACATCCATCAGCTGTCTCCTGCACACCCCCTACTGGGGATGTGCCCGCAACCAAGGTACATGCCCTTGACCGGAATCGAACCTGGGACCCTTCAGTCTGCAGGCCGACGCTCTATCCACTGAGCCAAACCGGTTAGGGCAGAAACAATTTTTTTAATTTGTTGATTTGAGAGACAGAGAGAGAAACATCAGTTCATTTTCCCACTTATTCATGCATTCATTGGTTGATTCTTTATGTGCCCTGACTGGGGATTGGACCCAAAACCTTGGCGTATAGGGAAGATGTTCTAACCAACTGAGCCACCCGGCCAGGGCTCAAAGAGGGGCTTTTTAATCTCTGCAGAGTCTTGCTTCAGGCCCAGGCGCAGTTGTCAGGGGCAGGAAGTTGTGTAACATTGGGATATTGGCTCAGAAGGCCCCTTCTGCTCACCGGGCCCATTAACGTGAGAAAAGACACACGTTCTGGGCCAGCTGAGCCAGGAGGAGGAGGACAGGCCTGGAAACGAACATCCACATGCAGCTTTTCTCAGGGCGCCAGAGCTCTTTCCTCTCGCTGTGTGCTGGGGGGTTGGCGGGGAGAAGGGGGTGTGGGGGGAGGGTTGACTGAATATGAGGGCTTTTTCATTGTCATGTTTATGTTGTCATACCCGGAGCCCCCTTTTCCTTTGTGCGTACCTGACAGTTGGTTAGGAAGGGCCAGCTCCACCGTGGCCTGTCGGGGGCAGGGGGGGAGGGGGCATGGGATGCTCCTCAAGACCCTCGTGAAAGGTCATAGTGTCTGGCAATTCAATCCAACCAGGGCTTTCCTAACCTTGGTTTGCCTGAGTTTAAGAGCGGAACTTGCAAAACTTAGTTAAGGGTCCAAATGTCCCCCAGTCCCCTTCTCACTGTTACTGGTCTGACCTGCTCTACCAGCTCGAAGTGTAAACATGATGACATCACTGTGCCTTTCACTCAGCCCCCGCTGGCTTTCGTATCAAGTCCGGGATCTTCCTCCTGAGCCTTCACATCCCCACCTCCCATCAGCAACTCTCCGGAAGCCCTGGAGTTGCTCAGCCCCGGGTGATCAATACCCCAGGCCTCGCCCATACAGCCGCATGATGTCACTGTTGGAGAGGGAGGGGCCTGCACAGTCTCAGGGTTTCCAGGGCGCGGCTTTTCTGCTGTGACACGTTGGGCCACTCTCCCTTGCTTGGCCATTACCCTCGGAAGCACAGCCACTGGGCCCCGCTGGTTGAAACCATTCCTTCTAACCCCCATCAAGCTGGGACCCGCAGTCTGCATCTCTGGTGCCTGTGGCCCACCTGCTCTGCCCCTTGGAGAGCGAGGGATGGATCATGGGTTTCTTCCTTCCCAGAAAGTCTGGGCTCCTTGTCCAACTCGGACCACCTCCTCTCCAGCCAGACCTGCATCCCACTCAGCCAGGAGTTCGCTTTCGGGGACTTTTTGTCTGAACAGTCGGTCTGCCAGGCCGGCTCAGGCACCTATTGACTAAACAGGCACCTGCTAGACTCGGTTTACTGGGAACTCCATGAAAGCGTGGGGATTAGGAGTACAGGTTTGAGAGTCTATGAGACCCAGCCTTGACCCCAGCTCTGTGACCTTGGGCAGTTACCCTGTGAGCCCTGGTTTCCCCATCTGTTTAATGGGGATGATGAAAACACCTGCATTATGAACGCAGTCATATGAAAGCACTTGGTGTAGTGCCTGGCATATAATAAGTACTAAATAAATACTTACTACTACTATTCTCTTATAGTAACAGTAATGATGATGATATAGTAATACGACTACTACTACTAATAATAAAGCAATCTGAGAAAGCTGAACTCATGACCTCTGCTTTTGCTTTTGCCAGAAGCTCACACAGTCCTTACGTTTTAGACCATGGGGTCCACGAGGACCATGGGGTTCACTGTGGGTTAACCCACATTCCAGCCCTGTTTCTCTCTGAATCTACATTAGACAGCGGGTTCCTTACTCTTTCTCATCCCAGCATCACCCACCTGGCTGAACTGAATGAAATGCATTCCCTTTCCCCCACTCCCTGGAACCACATTGAGTTCCACTGATCAAAGCAAATGAGCTCTGAAAACTGGTCAAAGACCCATTTTCCCACTTTTGAAAATGTCAGTGAACCGTGGTGGGGGCGGTTGGGTGGTACTAGCAGTAGCGCTGGGCCTCAAGGCTGACCCCTGGGGCTGCCATCTCTCCAGGCTCACCAAGTGGAGGCTCTGGCTCCCCACCCCCACCCCCACCCCATGAGAACTGGATTCCAGCTGATTACACATGAGAATGGATGTTCTTCCTTCTCTCTGACCCAGGCCCAGCCGTCCCGGGCTTCATACACAGGCAGCCGCTTGCTTTGTGAAGGGTTGGAACAGAGATTTGGGGAAAGGCAGGTACCCCCTGGAGGGAGTCACTGTTCCCTTATTCTCTCTCTCCATTTCATGGGGAGCACCAGGCATGGAAGGGCCGGTACTGGGGTGCTGATCAGCTCCACAGTGGGAGGGAGGAGAGGAAGCAAACATAATGTGGAGCTCAGACCTCCCGAGTGCCTGCTTTCCCTCTTGCCTTCGGGTTTCCACCGGCACTTTAATCTCTCGGCCAGCCTCTGCCTGGGACGGGTGGTGAACAATGCCTCCCTTATTCACCGTGGAAGGTGTCAGGTCAGGATCCTGACCAACATTTATCAGACTGAAGGGCTGTCCAAGTTCAAATACCAGTGAACACAGGATGTTCTAACTCATGTCACAGAGAAGCAGCATTTTTTATTATTTGGTCCCATTTCAAATGAAGCAAAAATTTGTGTAGTAGAAAGTTGGAAACCTCCTACATGTCTGGAATCAGTTCAATAAATTATTGTAAATCTCACAGTGGATGTGCGGACTGTACTGAAAATGGCTCTATTGGCAGGGAGAAATGTTCATATCATTTTAAGTAAGAAAAAAGCATTGGAAAAGACTATGTACAATATGTTCCTGTGTTTTTTTTTTTAATATATTTTATTGATTTCTTACAGAGAGGAAGGGAGAGAGATAGAGAGTTAGAAACATCGATGAGAGAGAAACATCGATCAGCTGCCTCCTGCACATCTCCTACTGGGGATATGCCCGCAACCAAGGTACATGCCCTTGACCGGAATCGAACCTGGGACCTTTCTGTCCGCAGGCCGACGCTCTATCCACTGAGCCAAACCGGTTTCGGCTCCTGTGTTGTTTTAAAGGCATATGTCTAGCCCTGGCCGGTGTGGCTCAGTAGGTTGGGTGTCATCCCTTGTACCAAAAGGTTGCTGGTTCGGTTCCGGTCAGGGCACATGTCCAGGTTGCAGGCTCGATTCCCAGTAGGGGGCCTGCAAGAAGCAGCCAATGGGTGTTCTGCTTTCACATCGATGTTTCTCTTTCTCCTTTCCTCTCTCTCTAAAAATCAATAGAAATATCGTCTAAGAAAGAAAAAAATATGAATACTTTAATTCTGAGGGCTGATTAGATAGTAATGTGTCTCCCTTGTGCACACATCCACCTACAGTTTCCCTTTGGTTGTTTATTCCAGGATGACAGGCCTGCAAGTTTGGAGAGCAGAGGGCAGGAGGTGACTGACTATCCATTTCCCTCCCGAGCCCCAGGTGGCTCTGTCCCCAACCTCAGAGGTCTGGATGAAGGGGACTCCCGGGCCTGTCTTTGTATCCAGGGTCCTTGGAGCACTACGCTTCAGCCTTGGCTGCATAAGGAATCAGTCACCAAGGGAGCTTTAAGGACGGCAGAGATTCTGACCGAATGGGTGTGGGGCATGGCCTTGGCATTGGGAGTTCCCAAAGCTCCCCAAGTGATTCTAATGTGTGGCCACGGCTGAGAACCGTGCCCTAGAATATCATCCCTCCCTCCCTCTGTCCCCTTCTCCCCCCACAGTCCCAGGAGACAGCATTGGTTTGGAGCAAATAGTTTTTTCTTCTCAGTCGGCCCTTCCCTACGTGAAGCAGTGTGGACTAAGCTCTTGAGAGTGTTCGGGGGCCACTGGGGAAAGGAGTTTTCAGAGAAGCCCAGCCCATTTCTGACCCCTTCCCCCCCTGTTCTTCAGTATGGAATCGTGCTCGATGCCGGGTCTTCCAGAACCACAGTCTACGTGTATCAGTGGCCAGCGGAGAAGGAGAACAATACCGGCGTGGTCACCCAAACCTCCAGATGCAGTGTGAAAGGTGAGGCCCAGAGTGGGTCTGGGAGGCCCAGAGGGAGGCCAAGGGAGAGTCCTGTGTCCTTGAAGGCCGGGAGGGGTCCCGAGAAGCTGCCTGGACTGGGTGCCAGGAAACGATGAGATCTCATGCTAGTGCTGCTCCTCATCAGTAACAGTGACCTTGCGTCAGTCCCTGCCCTTCTCTGGGCCACCGTCTTCTCAGCTGTAAAACATAGAGGTTTGCAAAGACCTTGCCTGCATATATGCATAACCCATGGACACAGACAATAGGGTGGTGAAGGCAAGGGGTGGGAGTGGGTTTGGAGGGAGTCAATGGGGGGGGGAGAGGACATATGTAATACTTTCAACAATAAAGAATTTTTTAAATAAATAAATAAGTGGAACAACAACAACAACAAAACCCACACAGGTTTGGGGGGCATGTCAAGAACTGCGAGTGGTCTGAGACGTTACCTGCCGCTCTTTCATGGATGCTGGTGGGAGACACAAGATTCCTGGGTCACAAATAAAGGGCAGTTTGTTATTCACAGCGATAGCAGCAGCCAGAGTATCAGCTCCTCTTCATATGCTGGTTCTCTGAGGATGATGCAAAGAGGGCCAGACAGTATCTGCTCGCACAGTGGGTTGTATTACAGATGAGAAACCTGAGATTGGGGAATCTGAAACATTTATAAAGGGCACTGAGCGTGCCTGCCTTTTGCTCTGGGGTGCAACTTTTCTCTGTCTTCGGAGCCTGTTTGCTCTGCAAACATCCTTGAAAAATAATCCAGAACAAAGGCAATCAGTGTCTGTGCTCATAAAACATGCAGGAACACGGGAGACAAGTTGTCTCCGAGCAGGTGTATGGGGTGTGGGGAGGGGGTGGAGGGAGATGGACAATACAGACACAAGCAGGCATGGCTCTGTTCCCGTAAAGCTTTATGGATGGACCCTGAACTTCTCACAAGTCACAAGATACTCTTTATTCTTCTTTTAACTCCTCTGCCCACCATTTTAAAGTGTAAAAACTGCCTGGACTGGGTGCCAGGAAACGATGAGATCTCATGCTAGTGCTGACCCGTGTGGCTCAGTTGGATGTTGTTCTGTGCACCGGGAGGTTTCTGGTTCAATTCCGGGTCAGGGCACATGCCCAGGTTGTGGGCTCAATCTCCATTGCAGGGTGTGCAGGAGGCAGCTGATTGATGATTCTCTCTTGTCACTGATGTTTCTCTCTCTCTCCCCTCCCTTCCTCTCTGAAATCAATAAGAATATTTTTTTAAAAGAAAAAGTTGAGAGGCAGAGTTAACCTTTCCTAACAGTCTTCTTTTGAAGACCAGGGTGAATGCGGATCACCTGCCCTGCTGTGAGAGCATCCTGGCCTCGTCTACCATGATGCATAGGTGTCACAGTTAAGTTTAAGTTAAGGAGACCAGGTAGTTCCTGGAGATCCCCACCTGTTGAAGGAGGGGGTAGGGAGAAGGATTAGACAGAAGAGCGATAAAGTGCAACGCAGGCCTGGCAAAGCTTCAGCCGATCGTAGTTTTCTTTGGGCTGAAATGGCCTGGAGTGGCTGGGTAGCCATACCCTGTCACCTCCAGTCTTTGGATGTTGCCACCCTGGAAAGAGCAAGGCAGCTCTCTACGGCTGAGGCAAACCTGAAGTTGCTGGCGGCTGGGACGGTAAGTCTTTATTGGCAGGGCGTCTGCGTGGCCCCTCTCTGGGCTCATTACAACAAGAAAGTCGGATGTTTTCTGGGTGCTGCTTGTCCACATGGCACAGGCAGCGGTAGCCTTGCTCCGACCTGAGCCAGAAATCCCATCTCTGTTCTCCTGATGTCTGAGCTGCTCTCCCCTCCGGGCAGGAAAGAGGCCCCAGGATGCTTGTTTAGAAAAGAGAGACCACCCATTTCAAGAAGAGAGGAGAGTGGAGAATAGTGATTAAGACGTCCCCTCATCCTGGCTGTGTGAGCTCTGCAAAGGGATCGAACCTCTCTGCATCTTGACCCCCTCATCTCTCAAATACAAAGCATAACAATAGTAAAGCCTCCCCCATAGGAGAGATTTGAAGATTAAATGCCATAATATATGGAAAGCAGGTAGCAAACACCTGGCATACACTAAGCACTCAAACCGTGTTAGCTATTACTGTTCACGGGGCATCACACTTTAGGTTTTCTGTGCCAGGGTTATAAGGTCTGTTCGACCCGGGAAAGCAATGTAGCCAAGTCAGCCCTGACGTCCCTCTGACTTGTAGGGAGACGTGAGACTGTCATGGGAAGGAACACGGGCTGTCTCTCAGGGGTGGGGGCCTTGGCCCACCCAGGGCGGGATTGAGGGGAGGAGCGGGGTCATGGAGCCCACACCACCTCCATAAATGGGTCTCCCCTCCTTTGATCACGGTAGCCTCCGTGATCCATATATACCCTGAATGACCCAAGGACCACAAAGGAAAGCTTAATTACAGAGCTGAAGTCTGTTTAAGTGTCACCCCCTCGAGGACATGTGGCTTCTCCAAGGATAATTTGGGTTTCTGGTTTCTCAATTGCAAATTTCCCCGGGACTCCCCCGTCTTAGGCAATCCGAGGGGATGTTGAATGCTTGCTTGCCCTGCTGTGTTTCCCAAATGCCTGGGCCCTCGGGAATTTCTTTCTCGGGGGCGCCCTGGTGTGTGTCAGTCTAGGTTGCTGCTCTTTTCTGGGAGTTCCCCGGGTGCTGGTCCCCGTGCTGGTGTGGAGCCCTTCTTGGGGGGACTGCCTCCTTGACACCCCTCCTCTGTTTCGCTGTGGGCAGCACTCCTGCCTGCTGCTGCCTTCTCCCACAGGGACACTCCTGTTTTCCCTTTACACCGGAGCTTAAAACCCCCTTAAACGCCACTGAGCCTTCTCCTCTATGGAAACCCCTTCAAGAGTTGCCCCAGGGACCAGACACTACAGTGTTGACAGCACCCTTTGCTCAGACACGTGTGTCTTATGCTGCTGTCCCACCTGGAGTAAGTTTTGTGTTGTCTGCCGGCCCCTCCGGCCCCAGATTGGAATACAGTTTTAACTCTGTTCTTGGGGTTGAGAATCCCAGTATCCCATGAGCCCATGAGCCCAGTCTCTTTTCCCTCCAGGAGGCTCACGGGACCTTATGGAAACAGGTGACATGCTCGGATGTTCCAAGTGTGGACATCCTAGCAAGGCTGCTAACCAGTCTTCATCCGGAGGCCAGCTCTAGCAGAATGTAGTTTGTTTGCTGCAGCCGGGAGCAAACGACCCCCTTCCCGGAGAGCTGCATGCTGGTTGAAAATCTCATTGATTGATTCATTAGTTCCTTCTTTTATTTAATAAATGTTTACTGGGTACCTGCCATTTGCCAGTAACATTTCTTGAGACTGGGAATTCTAAAACAAACAAAATATACAGGCTCTGCTGTTACAGAACGTACATTCTAGTGAAGGAGATAGATAATAAACAGATATGTGATGTGTCAGGGAGAAGTTCTGCGAAGAGAAATCAAGCCAGGCAGGTGGATAGAGAGTGATCGTGCTATTTTAGACATGATCTTCGGGGAAGAACAAAAAAGGTGACGGTTATGCAGAGACAAAAGTGGGACAAGAGAGTGAGCCATGCAAGTTTTTGAGGGAAGAACACGCTGAGCAAGAGAAAAGGCCAAGGGTAGAAGCTGCTCGGCATTTTCCAGGAAAAGCAAAGGGGCCAGAGTGGCTGGAGCAGAATGAGGAAGAGGAAGGGAGAGAGGAGACCAAAGCTGTAGCCAGGCCAGCTCGTGGCTTGAGAGACAGTAGGGCTCTGACTTCAACTCCAATGCAATTTCTGCAAAGTATATTGGGAAGCCACTAGGAGGTTCTGATCAGGGAACTAACATGCTATGACTTACCATTTTTTAAAAAAATTTTGTTTTATTGCTTAAAGTATTACAAAGAGTATTACATATATCTCCTTTCCCCCCCTTGACCTCCCCCCGGCCTCCCCTACCCCCCAGTGTCTTGTGTCCATTGGTTATGCTTATATGCATGCATACAAGTCCTTCGGTTGATCTCTTACCCCCCCCCCCCGCTCCCGCCCCAACCCTCCCAACTTATGACTTAGCATTTTAACGGATCCCTCTGTAGATACAGAACACGTAGTGATAGGCTAAGATTGGAAGCAGGGAAGCCAGGGCTATTAGAACAGTGCGGGTGACAGATGATGCTGTGATGGTCTGGCCTGGACAGGTGCTTCTCAGCATGGGGGGATTTTGCCCCCTCCCCCTGTTCCATCCACCCCTGGGAACATTTGTCTGGGGACATTTTCGATGGTCCCAGCTGGGGTTGGGGATGGTGCTGGCACCTAGTGGTAGAGGACAGAGATGCAGCTAAACATCGCACAAGGCACAAGTCAGCCTCCACAAGAGTTATCCGGCCCAATGTGAGCAGTGCTGAGGTTAAGAAACTCTGGTCTGGAATGGCTCTGGGGGACGGGGTGAGGTGGGCTCAGATTGGAGAGCTGTTGTGAAAGGAGAGCCAACAAGAATTAAGGATAGATTCAATGTGAGGCATCCCATTGATGGTGCCTGAGCATCGGTTCTGAGCTGGTAACTGCAGGTGATGGTACCGTTTCCCTGTGCAGTCAGTGGGGGACTTGCAGGGATTGAGGAATTTGATTTGGGGCACAGGAAGTTGGATGGAGGGGCCTAAGTCAAGCTGGCAAACATTTTCTGTAAAGAGTTAGGTGCTAAATACTCTTTACTTGTTGGCCACATGGTTTCTGACATAACTATGTAACTCTACCATGTGAGCATGAAAGCAGCCACAGCCAATAGGCAGACAAAAAAATATATTTTAAGAAAGCTTTATTTCTGGACACTGTACATGCCTAATGGGATATTCCCCAAGGACAGAAAGAACTTTAAAATAATCTTAGACTGTTTTCAATGATGATACAGTTGGTGGTAGTGTGGTGTTGTCATACTGAGACTTGTGTGTGGACTGTGAAATAAAGCAAATGAGTTGTTAAGTTGGAGTGCTAGCAAACAGGATTGGTAGCATAGAAAAAGGAAGATAAGGGTAGAAAAATTAAAGAATTTCAGTAAAAACCTGTAGTTTTGAATTAGAAGCACCAACAAGAATTCATGATATATTTTTCTCTTGAAATAAAGTTTTCCTGAGGTCTGTCCTCTGAGAAAACTTACAGTGAGCACCGTAGCTCCCAAACTTTGGGTGCTAAATACCATTACTCAGTAAAAACAACCAGGGCTCCTTGGAGAAATGGCTGAGTCCAGATCTGGGGCAGGAAGTATATAAGGTCATTGGCACATCTTACGGTGTCAGAAAGCGAAGATCTCAGAGGACTCGGGGCCAACTGAAGAAGGCTCAGTAAGAATAACTGCAATGAATTGAAACGCATCAAATATACCTTTACCAGTATATGTTCCTAACATACAAAACAAACAAACAAAATCCCTCTTTGACTAAGTTAGAAAGATATTGGAGAGGCAGTCTGTATTTTTAAGCTGGTAAATAAAGGAACAGAATCAAGCTCTTATCCTGTCTTCTCTGGACAAACGGTACTGTAGGGTAACCAAATAGTTAATGGTGGGGTAGCTCTTCTCCCATGACAGCATTTTAGGTAGAAAATATCACCATTTTACAGGCCCTCCTGGACCGGGTCTCAGCAGCGATCATTGGTGCCTGCACCCAAAGAGAAACAGTCAATCACTGGCGCCTCTGATTGGAAGTACACACTAATCCCTAAGAATTCTTGTTTCAAGCCTGAATCTGATTAAGTCTCAGCATTCAGTTACCAATTTCTAGGAAAAACCGGGACCAAATAACATGTTAAAAATGAACCATGGGGATTCGGTCAGCAACTTCTAGGCTGTGGGGAACTCTACAAGCCAAATTAAATTGGGAGGGGGGAAAATTTTGAATTACCAAGAAAAAATAGAGATGTACAGCCTCTAGATCAGTGGTTCTCAACCTTGGCTGCACATTAGAATCGCCTGGGAATCTTTTTAAAATCCTGATTTCTGGGCCTCATCCTCCAGAAATTCTGTTTCTTTGTTATGGGGTGAGGCCACAACATTAGTAACAAAGAAACAGAATTTCCGGAGGATGAGGCCCAGAAATCAGGATTTTAAAAAGATTCCCAAGCGATTCTAATGTGCAGCCAAGGTTGAGATCCACTGCTCTAGATTAAGAGAGACTTAGAGCTCTACCAACCAACTGCAATGGGTGGGATTTATTTGGACTCTAATTCAGATAAACTAGAAAGTGAGAAAGGGGGGGGGGGAGAAAAAATATGACCAAAGAGCAAATGTGAACCTTAACTAGATATTTGACTGTGTTAAAGGGCGACTTTAAGTTCTTATCGGTATAATAGTGGGTGGTGGCTATGCCTCTTTAAAAGAACTCTTGTCTCTGGTGATGCACACTGAAATATTCGCAGGATGAAAAGATACCATGTCTGCGGTTTGCTTCTGAGGAGAGAATGGGGGCGGGGGTGCAGGTGCAGTAAGAGGTGATCCTTGTTGGAGCTGGGAGGTGGTGCGTGGGTTCGCTGCATAATTCTCCCTACTTTCATTTACATTTGAAATGTCTAAAACGAGAACTTTTTTTGTAAAAGTGCATTTATTAAGGCAGCCTGCTATAAGGGTAGACTGAGGCTCTCTAGAAGGGGAGGTCTGGGTATATTTTTAAAATCGAATTTATTGAGGTAGCATTGATTATTAACATGACATAAATTTCCGGTGTACACGATATAGTTTGATATCTGTGGACTCTACTGCATGCTCACCACCCAAAGCCGTTTCCTTCCATTACCGTATATGTGACCCCTTTACCAATTCAAGAACTTTTTTAAGCAGGTTAATTTTTTCACCCTGGCTCAGTTTTTTCACCTTTGTAATTCCCTCCTTCCTATTTTGGGAGTTGAATCACCACGGCACCGAACACATCCACCCACTGAAACCTATTCATTTCCAAAGCTGATTGGTTTTTTATTTGAAAGTGGTGCTGCTCTTGTTGGTTCCTGAGGTTGCTAAGAAGTGCTGACTGCTTGCTCTTTAGGCTCTGGGATCTCCAGCTACGGGAAAAACCCCCAAGATGCCCCCAAAGCCTTCGAGGATTGCATGCGAAAAGTCAAGGAGCAGATTCCCGCCCACCTGCAGGGGTCCACGCACATTTACCTGGGCGCGACGGCTGGGATGCGCCTGCTGAGGTAAGGGCAGGAAGGGCACGGAGCAGCCCCTGTGACCAAAATAGCCAAGAATGTGTTGGACTTGCCAAGAACGTAACTCTGTTTCTGGGAACAAATCCCAAAGACAGAAGCCCATATTCTGCCATAAATGTAGACTTTAAAAAGTTGGGAAACTTTTCGTCTTTATTTTAATACCCAGAAAGAAACAGTTCTGAAATCGATTCCCTTGCCCTTGGCAATTCGAATGAGAACTGAGAAAGGGGGAGGTGACATGAAATCTGTTCACGGGGTTAACGCTAGTTTTTAGAAAAGTAGAAACTTTGTTGTTGTTGTTGTTGTTTAATATATTTTTTAATTGATTTCAGAGAGGCAGGGAGAGGGAAAGATAGAAACATCAATGATGAGAGAGAATCATTGGTCGGCTGCCTCCTGCATGCCCCTTACTGGGGATCGAGCCTGTAACCTGGGCATGTGCCCTGACCAGGAATTGAACCCTGACCTCCTGGTTCATAGGGCAATGCTCAACCACTGAGCCACACCAGCTGGGCAAAAAGTAGAAACTGTTTTTGACACCTCCTATGTTGACACCTGTGCACAACCAGCTCCACTGAGGGCCACCCATAACTATGTAGCTTGTACCCATGTACAAAACGACACTGAAATCTAAAGTCAGGAAATGTCTGCACCTCCCCTCACCCCATCAAAGCCTTTGGAGTTATTATGAAACAAACATCTCATTTCATCCAACTAAGCAGTTCCTTTTGGATTTGCAGCCATGACTTAGCCCAGTTGCATTGTTTCTGAAGGCCATTTATCTCCATTTCTCCATTATAGTATTTCATTGGCCTTGAAATAAAAGAAAAAAATCGTTTTAAAAAACAACAACATCGAACTCAAATCTCTCTAGGGTAGAAGCTGCTCCAAACTTTGAAAAATCAGGCTTTCTCCCCAAAAGATGACACTCATTCTCCTCCCAAGCCCCCTTGTCTGTGATCCCAGGAATGTCAGATCGCATGTAGGCATGAAGGAGACACAAAGGAACAAGCAAACAGGGCCTCTTCAACATCACCATCCAAAAAAATCTTAGTTGGATTGGGCCTTTTTCTTGCCGTTTTCCTACCCTTGTTCCTATTCCTGTGTCCTGGTTGACCAAGAGGAATGTGGAATTTCTTAGAATCTGCCGTGTTTTAGTCATTGAATTTACCTGAAATAGAAATGATATAGAAATCCCTTCCTCCTGCCTTTTCTTCCACATGGAAACAAAGAACCCAACTTTTACTTCGCTGCTTTTTCCCCCTCCCAGTCCTCTGAGTGAGAAATAACTACAAGGCTCTGTGATTGGTAGCCCGTGACCAGCACCATGGGGTAGAAAGGTCATCGCTTGGGGAAGAAAGTGAATGAGTGTTCCATTTGAATGCATTAAATATTAACTCCTCCTTGTGAAACTTTCTGATGGCGAGCCATGTCTTCGGAGCAACTAGCTGACATTTTAGTGGCTAGAAAAGGCAAATGTTTTTAAAAATTAATGGGAATCGTCCTGGATGAGAACAGATGAAACTAGGGAAACTCTGAATTCTTTTCCAAGCACCGATCGCTTGCTCCGGCTTGTCGCACTGCTCTTTCTTCGTGAGCTAAGAGTGAGCCTGTGGCCCTGGCTTTCTTAACACAGGGATGGAAGGGGAGATAATGCCCCGGTGAGCTTTCTCCCGGAGGGTGAAATGGCAGCGGGTGAATGGCATGATCACACCATGTCCTGGGTGACATGAAACTACTATGTTGCCACGCCTCCGAGGGCAGCACACGAATGGATTCCACCCAGTGACGCCCGAGCGTCTTCATATCCCCCTGGTGGAGCTGGAGAGTCAACCCTCTTCCTTCCCGCCCCCTCCTGAGCGCCCCTTCCTTCTGGCTTGATGAGGGCTCCTTCTTATGGTGCCCCCAAGAGATGACTCATACCACTTCTGTGGCTTCCCCGTCTCCTTTCCTCTGCTGACCTGGTCAGAGCAGCACAAGGCTCTTTGGACGAGCGGGTGGCCGGAGGGAGGGGCAGGCACAGGTAGGGGAGGCGAGAACTAGTGGTGCTTTTCCTGGAATCTGTTTTCCTGCTTGGCAGGTTGGCAGGTACCTAGTGCTCCCTGCCGTTCCTTCCTGTCACCCAGGAAGCCGGAGCTGGCAGGAGGGGTTGCCTTGTGTCGCACACGTCTGGGAAATGGTCCCTGTCAGCAGCGGGCGGGCGGGCGGGCGGGGAGGTTTCGCCTGTTCACCTGACGGAGGGTATTTTAAGGCTCTGTTGTCCGGGCACTCAGCCTTGTGTGTTCTGTGCCTTGCATAGGTTGCAAAATGAAACAGCAGCTAATGAAGTCCTTGCAAGCATCCAAAACTACTTCAAGTCCCAGCCCTTTGATTTTAGGGGTGCTCAAATCATTTCTGGGCAAGAGGAAGGGATATATGGATGGATTACAGCCAACTATTTAATGGGAAATTTCCTGGAGGTGTGTGAAAACAAATGCATGGTTTCTAATCTTGCTATTGACCCCTTCCCCTGTGGGTGGTAGCTTCAGCAGAGGTGCATGCCAACAGGGGCATCTGTCCCGGGTCATTCCTACTGTGTGACGCATCAGGGGGAATACCTGGGACAATAGGTAAGAACAGACATGCTAGCTGGTGCAAAACCTTGGCTCACAAGCAGGACCAAATGCACGGGGGAGAGGGAACAGCATCCCTTTACGAGCAAATAAGACACTGGGGGAGGGGGGAGACTCTAACACTGGGCTATGGGTAACAGGAAGGGCAGCTGGAGAATGACCCCTCTAAGCTGGCCCATAGCCATCTGGAATTTACAGAGCCTTCGGGCGGCCCGCTCCCCAGGTCCCTGTGTCCCCAGGTCTCCGTGACACGCCAGTCTCCACGCGCCCTTCTTCTTTGGTGCAGAGGAAGGCGGACTCCGAGAGACAATCACCGTGTTACAGAGACCATATCCAGCCCCACACCTATTCTGTTCCTCCTCAAATATATTTTTTAAATCTTTAGTTCACTGCCAACAGTTAATATTTTGAAAAGTTCACATAAAAATTCATAGCTTCTCCTGACCCCACGCCCCACACGCTGGAAGTGCTGGTCACAGTGGACGCACGTTCCTGCATGCAACAGCCAGCTGGGACAGTGTCACACACGCACTCCCCAGTTGGCCAGAGTCCCCGCCATTCCCTGTTGTCTACACCTAACCTACTGTGCTCATTCCTGCTGCCTGCCCAGCTCCTGTAAGCATTTGAGTTCACCACCCCGACATAAAGGAGAGGTTTGGCCCTGAATGCTTCCCCATATGTCCTAGTTCTTAGCAGTCAGAGACGGGTCTTAGGTGGAGAACCCTGGGCAAACAGAAATGGCGTCTCCGGCCTGTTCTCATGCTTTCTTCTCCCGCGGCGCAGAAGGACCTGTGGCACATGTGGGTGCATCCAAATGGAGTGGAGACCACAGGTGCCCTGGATTTAGGCGGCGCCTCCACCCAGATATCCTTCGCGGTGGGAGAGAAGGCGGAGCTGAACACCAGTGACATCATAAAGGTGTCCCTGTACGGCTACGTGTACACACTCTACACGCGCAGCTTCCAGTGCTACGGGCGAAACGAGGCCGAGAAGAGGTTTCTGGCCATGCTCCTTCAGGTACCTGAGTGGGGGGCGGGGAGCAGGTGTTTCCTGGGGGGTCTCAGCTGAGGGAAGGGCACCTTGCCTTCCGGGGTCCGTCCTTTCAGCTCCAGTTAGAAGGTGGGTGAAGTCAACAGCATTTTCCGGTTTACTCGTGGGGGTCCAAGCGCACACACTCTCTCTCTTTCTCTCTCTCTGTTGTGTTGACCACTTCCAGTGTATCTGAGTCAGAATTCCAAGGAAATTCCAGAGCTCCAGACATTTTAGAAATGATTCAAGTCCCGGGATCCCTTTATGGCAGGGGTGGGGAACGTCCGGCCCACAGGGCTATATAAGGCCTTTGAAATCATTTGGTCTGGCCCTGCCAAGGCATTAAGTCTCAGCCAACACGCCTCTTCCCAGGAGAAAAGCCCTGGAAAATCCTCTTTTTCTCAGCCTCCTGTATTCAGGCAAAGCTAATGCTCCTTCCTCCAGCTCTGGCCTGCAGGGGAGAGGAGGC